CTCCTTTTACATCAAACAACAATTTAAAAGCATGTAGAAAATTTTGCTATATTACATCAAACAACAATTAAAATTTAAAAAGCATCTAGAAAGAAAATGTCAAATTCACCTCTGGATCGATATGCTTCAGATTACATAAAGATTTGCTTATGCAACAGTCTCCTATCCACAAATTACAGTGACAACCTTGACCAACAGAGTAACTGGGACGATGCATGACAAAAAATAAGAATGCTTCAAGAACAAATAAAATTAATTAGTACATTAATTATACAAGAAAACTCATTTTTCCTTATCAATGCCCATTCCATACAAATTGAATAGTCACAAAGAAGATTAGAGAAGGTAACTTTTTTTATAATTAAAATGATTTAATGTGAGCTATGAATATATTTATTAAGAGTAGAAGTTAAGAAGATGAAGAGATATAAGTTATGGAAAAAAATGAATGAAAAATGCAAAATAAATGAGATGGCTTTTGGTCTTATCATAGATTACATTAATTACTGTATTATTTTTAAAAAGTAAAAACCACAAAAATTGAGGAAAGATAAGAGGAGACTTTTCAGATTTTTAGATACCGTTAAAGAAATGGTGATGTGTAATTAATATATACAACAAATAAATTAAATTAAATTAAATTAATCAATAAGAAAAAGGAAAATTAGAGAGAATGTAGGGAAAAATTCAAAAAAAATGATAAATACCTTTCCTGGCCTATGAAGCATGCCACATCACTATTCTAACATCTAGCTTTATATTATATATAGATTGTGTTCAATAATATTAACATTATGTTTTTCCAACACAGATAATAGAAGGTTTGAAAGAAGTCTTTGATGGATTTTCCAAAAAAATTTGAGAGAGAAAATGTAAGAAGATGTACTAGCTAAAATTGAGGAAGAAGAAGAGAAAAAAATAAAATAAAATAAAATAGGCTAAATAAGCCTCACACGTGCCATCAATGACTGTATCACACTCACTTTATCACATCAGCAAAACGTGTCAAAATGACATAATAGGGAGGGACATAAAGTGTCTAAAATGAACAAAGTCTAGTTAAGGTGTCTAAGTGAAAGTTGGTGCCTACTTTAGGGGGCCACCGATGGGTTAAGCCTTATTTGTAATAGATAACTGCATGTACAACTTTCTTTGTTTGATTCAAGATTATGAATCCTTCATATGTAAATTTTATATGAGAATATTAACTAAATTGTTTAAATATAATAGTATTACGAAATATAACATAATCAATTCATAATCATAAACAAGCTAGAACTTAATACAAATGGTTGAAATGATCCAACTGGTTTGACAGCATCACGAGTGCAACTGACTAAAGTGGTGCAATTTTCTAAAGACAATGGCACAATCTATGCATATGAATATGTTGTGTGTGTGTGTAGTATTACGAAATATAACATAATCAATTCATATTCATAAACAAGCTAGAACTTAATACAAATGGTTGAAATGATCCAACTGGTTTGCCAGCATCACGAGTGCAACTGACTAAAGTGGTGCAATTTTCTAAAGACAATGGCACAATCTATGCATATGCATATGCATATGTTCTGTGTGTGAGAGAGAGAGAGTCCAAAGTCCAATTTGAGATTACTGAAGTCAAACAGGTAAGTTCAGATCATGTTGCTTGGTCAACATTAAGCGTTACTTTGTTTTCTAGTGAAAGCTTTTGCTATCATTTGGTCAAACCCTGTAGCGTGTAACAATATAGTATAGATGACAAAACTCATAATGTTTGTATATCAGTTTGTTAGCAATTACTTATCGGCTACAACGATCCATCTACTTCTATTACTCTTTTTAATCCCATTACTACCATACCTCAATTACATGCTTCTTAGAGTCACCATATGCATTCTCACTATTCATTTAGCTCTATTTGGACCCATTTGATTCTAGTATTTACTACTAATTTATGGATCTCAAATAATACAAGTTCTCTATATTTCCTAGTGAGACAATCTTAATAAACTAAAAAGCTTCATAGTGAATTGGCCTAATGTATATTTACCTTATTCATGACGAAACATAATTCCAATGATATGACTATCATATCTATTATATATATATATATATATGTACTTGATGATGCGACGGAGAAGGGAAGAGTTCACAATTGGAAGATAAGATCTGAAGCAAAAGAAAAATAAATAAAAATTAGTAATTAGCAAACACAAAGGCAAAGCAAATACAAGAGAAAACTATAAAAAAGATTAGAAGTAAAAAATGATAATTAATTTACTCTATATATATATAGAAAATGAAAATAACTATTCATATTCCAAAACTGAAGAGAATCTCGGAAAACTAACTAAATGCTTTGAAAACAGAAAATAATATATGGATAAGATAGCTGAAGTTGTATGGTTGCTGAAAAATGGGATGGAGTCATTGAAGAGACATAACTCATAATTGATAAATAAAAAATTAACTTTTGAGTTGGAGTAATAATTAATTAATATATATATACATACATATATATATATATATAATTTATATAATGTAGGGGTAAAATGGTAATTCAATTTTGCATTTTGGAGCTTCCCACTTTTAGTAATACTAGTCCTCGGAACGTGTGTCGCGCGTTTGTCCCCTAATTGACATTAGAAAAGTTAATTTCTATAAGTAAATATATCATAGTGGAGCGTACATATATTCATCGCAAAGTTCAAAGCTAAGTCCTTTTGTATGTAAGTTTGACATAAGAATATAACTATTCACAAAATATAACATGAAAATCTTATGTCAGATGTTGGAGGTTTTATATTTTTAAAGCTTCATGAAGAAAAATCTTTTATTATATCAGAGGAATTAATATATTTTAATTATTAAATGTAAGTTTTAATAATCAAAAAAGAAATTGGTTATAAAAAAGATATGCATACAGAAAAATATTACAAAATGTCTAGGTGGTGTAACATTAAATTTATAGAAAAATTACAAGTTCAAATGGAAAAGAAAGAAAAGTAAATAAAGACATGACATCCATAATAAAATACATCACTTTAAAATATATAGACAATAATATTGTCATATTAATTGAATTACATTTTGTTAGAAGTCGATTTGCTATAGACAAAATGTTTCATATGTATAAAAAACTAAAATTATAAAAATAATAAACAGAAAATAAAGCATGAGAAAAATATATATACATTATATTTCTTGAACTATATATTAAAGGATCTGTATATAAGAAATTAAATATGAATTCTAATACAACAAAATTCAATGTAACATTTGCACTAATTTTTACTTTACATTATTTTTATTTTATTTTTACTTGTGCACTAATTTTTGTACCTCTCTATAATAGTTCAGTACATAGATTTTATAAACATTTGTGATTACATATAAAAAGGAAAAAGTACAAACATGTTGTTTTAAAAAGATAAATGATTATCAAACAACGAAAAATACATAACTATAAATCTTTATCAAAGACTTACTCTTTTATGGGTCTAGTTATGAAAATATTATGTGGGATTTAACATGCTTACCCTCAAAACAATTAATTATAAATATAAATTGGGATTACCTTGATTATATTTATATCCTAAAGATAGAAGAAATGAAGAATATAAAAATATAGTAATCAATTACGAAATTATATTTAAAAACTCAAAAAGATGGAGATATGAAAAATAAAAATTCACTTACAACTTCATATTGGAAAATATTCATCTTGTAACTATGATAATTTACATATTTCTCAACAAAAAGAAAATGAATATGCATGAAATTTTAATACAAATAAATGAATCAGTAAGAATTCTTACAATTACAAATTGGTAATGAAAATTGTACAAATGATGTAGACTAACCTACTGTAGAATGAAAGATGAGCACAAATTTGGATGAAAGAAGGAAATATAAATAATGTTGTGTGAGTGTCTTTGATAGACTCTTCATTAACCCCACTTATCTTACAAATTAAAATTGAAGGTTATTAGACTCTTCAATACCCACAAAGATCTTGCATTAAATCGAGGTACATGAATATATGATTATATTAAGATCTTGGTTGATGCATGAATTTAAATATAACTATTTCTTAATATTTAATTAAATAAATAGATATTAATATTTAATTTATGTTAGGGGTAAGATAAGGGCAAAATGGTAATCCAACTTTGAGGTTAAAAGCTTTCCACTTATAATAATATATGATGATATTTAAACCAACAATAACAATGACATATCTTAATTCCATAAGTGAGATATGAGAACAACATCTCACCTTTATTTTGAAAAAGAGATTCAATCTGATAGATCGGCTCAAAAGAAAAAAAAACATACAAACGCTCCCTTTGTTTCTTTTTAGTTGTTACAGTTTCTTTTTTGAGAATCAAACAATATGAACGTTGTCTAACACTCTAAGATGTATTTTTTATTTCATCAAATTGAAGTAAAAGAAAAATACAATTTATAGTACTTTAAAAGTATTACTTTGTATATAGTTTTTGAATATCTAAATTTTTAATTTAAAATATTGAATTAATTTAACTTTAAAACTTAGTTAAAATGATTCTTGAAAAACATACATGATAATTAAAAGGTAAAAAAGACAAATATACCCTGAACTATCGAAAATGATATATAAATACCATCCGTTATACTATTTGTACACTAGTGTCTTTGTCGTTCAAAAAGTGGATCATTTATGTCCTTCGCTCTAACAGTTGGACACGTGGCATCATCCTATGCATCTACCCAAAATATACACTAAATTTAACCCCACAAAGTAAAACCACCTGATATTAAAAAGATTCGCCCAAATAACCCCCTAACCCACCCGTTACTAACACCTACAAACCAAAATACCGCTTTTAAAACCCCTCTACGTGGTCATTGTAAAACCCTCTACGTGGAAATTGTATTCAACGCAATCCCAATCAGCCCAACTAAAAATCCTTCACCTTTCTATTAGTCTCTTTTTCCAATGATCCACTTCTCTAATAATAACAATTCTTCATTCAATTAGCTATCCATTTTTTTTATATATACCAATCAATTCACAGAGAAATAAATTTGCATAAAACTAAAAAATTAAACTTTTACGAAATAAAAGAAAATTGGGTTTCAAAGAAATAAAGTTGTATAAATTGATTTGTGTATAAAGGGATCATTTGGTAAAATGGGTCAGGCATTTCGTCGAGCAACAGGAAGGATCGGAAGTTCTACTGTCGATGCGGCGTCATCGCAACTGAAGAAATCTATCGACCGGAGACCCCCGCCGGTGAATAAAATTCCTGCCGATAATGTTGGTCCAGTTGCCGGTATGCTCTTTGCAGTTTCTAAGTCTATAATATGAATTCGTTTATTTCGATTTCTTATATTTTTGCAATTTAGGAACTTAGGTCTTATTCATGCTGCAGTTAGTTTGAATTTCTTGCATTACACAAACATTACTTACTCTGTCCAAATAAAATTTACATTTTATAGTATAAATCTCAACTTTCCGTAGCAAAAAATATTTTCAAAAAATGGCACCCGAGGTGTGGCGTAGCTTCAATGATGCGGGAACCATGAGTTCTCAGGTTCGAAATCCAATGGGGGTAAAAACACAAGGTGATTTCTCTCCATCTAAGCCAATGGAGAGAGTTACACACGATATCTGTGTTGGTGGGAGGTAGTAGCTATCCGTGGAATTAATTGAGGTGAGTGCTCGGGGTTCGGACACCACGGTGACTAATTGGGGGACAGTATGGTGTAAGCTTGTTAATCAAATTTCACTACTATAACCTCAAGTACAAATACAAACAGTTCCAAGTTAGTTCGGGTTGGCTATATAAGTCTTCACTATCATTTTTGTTTCATTTGCACCGGTTCATCTCGTAATCATAAATTTAGTAGTTTTACGCTTGCCTTCAACATACTGCAAGTTCATGAAACACTACCATATAAAGGAAATTTTGGAATAATCAATGTGTGGTTGGTTGTCCCTCTTCTTTAGTTTCCATTAGAAGGGAATCTGCAAAAGCTGAGTTTGTTGCATGCATTGTTAATCACATGTATTGAATCAAACTGCCATTTTGAAGGTGAATATGACATTGAAAGAATATGGAAGTAGCAGGAGGAAATGTTTTATCATTAAAGAAGCCAATGTTCTTAAACTCTTATTCTCACTTGTTGATTCAGTTGTAATTTTCTCAAGAACATAACTAGTGCATCATTATCCATCAAATCAGTTGACTATGCATCTATACCAAAATGGTTGAGGTCATTTATATTAGGAGTAGGTGTTCGGTTCTTCGGTTCAGTAATTTAATCGTGTGTACCAAATGCCAAACCAAACCGATTCGGTTAGGTTCAGTTGGTTTTTCTAATTCGTTTTTTTTTTTTCGGTATGAGCATAATAAATGGGCTATTTTTCTGCTTGTAAAATGGACTACTTTTTAAATTAGAAATGTCTTATGTGAACTCAAGACACGTACAATTATTGGCTGTCTACTGTCTTCCTTTCAGCCACTCACTGTTAGGTAATTTAAAGAATTGCAAAGTTGTACGTACTTTAAAGATATGGGAGCGGTCTCCTTACTAGATGAATGGCTTTTGTGGTTGAATGCCTTGGCATGAATCCAAACTGGATCTCGAAAATAGACACACCCCTCCTCCTCACCCTCATCTTCATCACCCTCTCAACTTCCATGGTGTGACTTAGCAGCTTTATACCCCTATAGTTGTTAAAATTCTGAATGTCACCCTTGTCCTTGTATGATGGAGCCATTATACTCCACCTCCATTATTCAAGCATTTTGGCCGTTTTAAAAACGACATTAAACAACTCAATCAGCCCCTCCAAACCTGTCTTGCCTGCACTCTTCCAAGATTCCACCTAGTGTTTTTTTTTGTCTGCTGGGATTCAAACTAAGGTTCACACCCACTTCTTGACCACTAGGCCATAATTCATCATAATCCGACTGCAAACTTATTGCGAACCTCTGCATTTATCCTGTTTCGGATGTGCAAGGCTCACATAGGGCAGTGATAATTGGAGCTTGATTGTTTAAATTAATAATCCTGTGCATTCGGTTAGGATAGGTAGAACTGGTATGTAGCTAGAATGGTGAATACTACTTTGGGTATGCATGTGTGCTCAGGAGCACAGGTCAATTGTACCGATTTGCTGTGTGAGTAGTTGAACTATATTAATGTCAGTTTTATGCTTTTTTTTGTGTAATCTCTCAATGCAAGCTGTGTGAACAACTTAAGTCCACATTTGGGTTTTGAGAAACAGATCTTTAAACCACCACAAAAAATGGATCTTTCATCCTGTCCATTTATAGTTAGCATTGCAATATGTATGTGTTTGTACTTGTGAAATGGGAACAAATATCCCCAAATATCTAAATACAATTTCGGACGTATGAATTGATATGAGTCCAACTTATTGCAAAATTAAATCAAATTTGAGTCTCCATCAGTCAAATGGGTCTATAAATTTGAGATAGACTGAGTTCTAATCACATCGCACAACAAACTGGGGGAGTCTTGGATTAAACATTGATGTCATCCATTTAGGTGTCTTTTTTGCTGCAAGAACGGTTAATGCCTTTCGCTTGTTTATTTTTCTATCTGCCCAGGAAAACAACTTGCTTCAATATTTCCATTGCAAGAGTGTTTGTAGAACTTCATAAATACTTACATGATAAGTGACTATTTGGTTTTGCTTCTTTAGAGAGCAGCCCAAAGGTTGCTGTTAAAAACACTGTGGAAGAGAAAGATCCCAAGTTCGATGCAATGCTTAGTCAAATGGTTGGTAGAATTCAAGCCAAGCCTGGTGGAAAGCTAGAGATGGGTGAGGTGAGTTTCATTTGTTTGCATAACTTTCTGATTGGACGTGTGCGCCATGGACTCTGCAACTTTTGAGACACTCATAGATTATTTCTTAAATTAGTCAAACTCTATTTCAACTTCTGCGTAAAGCTTCACCTTCTTTAAAAGAGGAAGGTATGAGAGTGATTTAGAGGGGCCAATGTTGTCTTCCCTTGAAGGAAGTATATTCTGAATTTCTTGTGCCATCTTACTGTCCTGGTTTAACTAAATTTGGTCCGGATGATTCCCTCACCCCACCCTACATACAGCCCCTCTATATATATCTAGAAGTTGTAAACACTTGCATGAAATTTCTCTTCTTCTTTTTTTGAACTCCTTTCCTCATATCACATCTTTATGTGCAAGTAAGGAGTAGTGTGAAATGTGCAAGTCAGGAGTTTTAATTAGTACTTAACTCATATCAATTCTTTTTCCTTTATGGGGGGACGGAAAGCACGAGGCAATGAAATAATCACATGATATATTCCAGGCCTCGAGAATTCAGCTTGCACTAATCTGTTGAAACTTGGCAATCCTATAGAAATCTTTTTGAGTCTTAAGTTGTTTGAGCCTTAAACTGATGTATGATCACCATGTCTGTGCACTTCATGCTCCTATCTGTGACTCTTCTGATGACGGTCAAGCTTCTGAGAAAATAATGTCATATGTTGTAGTTAAACCGTTCTTATCGCCTGTCGGATATTCTTCCCTTCATAGTAGGTTTAATCTCAACAATGGGGCTCCCTCTTGGGTGCAAATAAAATAGAGATCTTAAGTTATCCAGCACTAAATTGTGCTGTCTGATTAAATGTTTCAGTTGACGTAGATTCGGATGTAGTAACAGGTACAAGAACATATGTATCAGGAATAATTAGTTGTTAACTCATGCCTACTGTGACAGGCAACAGTGGTGGAGAGGTCTGATAGACCCTTGCCTAAGCTAAGGAATATAACTTCACAGTCTAGCAGATATGAGGAAAGGCCTACTCCTACAGGTACGCTGAATGTGGCACAGATAAAAGAAATTATACTACTGCATCAAGGCAGATCCGATGATCATAAAGGACCTATGGATATCAATGAAATTTCTGAGCGGTTTCGAGTTGATGCTGCCCAGATTCAGATGATTCTGCAGTTCGTATCTTTGCCTCCGGAAGACACTAGTAAAATGAGGAACACATAAGTGTGTGTATCATATTTTATAGTCATTGATATCTCAAAGAAATGAGTGAGTTCACACTTGCCCTGAGGTGATTCCCTTTATGCATCAATTTTGCAGCTGTAAGTTGGTCTGTTGTAATAATGACCTATCATCATGGTCCTGGAGAGAAAATGAATACACTAAACTGATCCTAATGATGTTTGTTGCACTAGAAGAGAACCTTTTTTTTTCTTTCATATTCGAGAAGCTTACAATAGGTCCTTGTTGTCGGGCCCTTCCGGGATCCAGCACATAGCGGGAGCTTTAGTGCACTGAACTGCCCTTTGCTTAATTCTACAGACAACCTGACTTGATGATTCCTTGATTTTGCAAGTATCTCATTTATTTTTTGGGATAATTTCATAGAGTTCCCTTCAGGTCTAGCTTTATCAGAGTAGCCCCTTTGTGGTCTACGAAATTACACTTGTGTTTCTTATTTTAATTTTTCGTAAGAATTCTCTTTACCTATTTATTATTATATAAAAATTATATAATACGATTAATTTGCCTTCTGTAATATAATTTTATTCAATTAACTTTGTAAAGATTTCATTTGTTTTAGGATAAAATATTTTCCATGTTCACTAAAATTTACAAATCCGTTGGTTCCATTTATCTCTTGAAAGTATCTTAGTTAGAAATTTAACTCTCAAAGATTAATTAAGTTTTGAGACGGCGGAAATTGAATTTAAGAAATCGGATATCACCTGGAATCGGCCTAGCGACTAGCAATTAAGATTATCAATTCTCATCTTCTTGTTTCATTAATGTTTTAATTCTTAAATTTGAACTTGGTTACACATATCTGTTCTCGAATTCCTCTTTATTTGATACTCATATTAGTTAATTAACCACATCTCATATTCGAAATTCAATTCTGAAATCTTATCTCTAAAATATCTTCCATGGTTCAATTGGAAAAAAATATATGTAGGTAATATGCAAGTATGGTAAAGATTTACCTAAAATGGATCATGATATACCAAGTAACGATAGAAGTTGATTTTTTCAACAATTTTTAGAAAGTTCTTTCAATTCGTCGAAATAACAGATCGAAGAATGGAGATTTTAAAAGAGGTAGATCACTTTGATGAAGTTAAACGTGAGAAAACTCTCTGAAATCATCCCTTACACCTTTTTACCCAACCCTAGGAGGCAGGAGCTCCCACCCTCTTTGCGGAAGTGAGGGGTGTTGGCCATGAAAACTTCTCTGGTCAACCAACCCCTTTTTGGTATTTTGTGCTTCTATATTACCGTTTATAACTTACTACCTCCTTAAAACAAGAAATTAATCGAAGGCAAACTTGACTCAATGATTGGCTCCAGCATTATATACGGATGGCCTTATAGAGTGAATCAGTTAAAAAGCATCTAAGGGAGATCCAAAAGAGAAAAAAGAAGCACCAAGAGCTTCCAACAAACCTCTCATATTGTCAAGGCATGAGAAATTGTGGTCGCCAACAAAGGAGCTCAGTGTCTTCTTGAACAGACAAAAAAGACGTCATTCAACTGAATAAAACCTATATACTCCTCATCTTGCAACAAGTGTCAATTATGGCCCGACTTTTTACTTCCTTTGGACCTTCTTAAGATGCAAGGAGAAAAAGAATGACAAAAAAATAAACGAGCTCAAAAATATCAGAGGCCCTTTCCAGTTGCCACCACCAATGACGAGGAAGTAAGAAAAAGTGCTATGTATGCTTCAAGTCAATTTGGACTCTAACCAGTCTGATGTATACTCGTAAGCAACAAATGTCACAGCACCTGCAGGTGCAGCTTTAATAACTGAGGGAACAATCCCTTTGTAAAGTCCGGCCCAACCCTCCTCGATCAAGATCCGCCTGAGGCCATCATACATATTCTTGTAGGCGTGAGGCTTCAGTTGAGCTCCATACCTTGGATGTCTTTGTAGTCCTTCAATCTGCATGGTATAGGGTTACAACATTAACTGTTGTCACAAACAATGGACATCCACTTGCATATGATTTCGTTATCTCTTTCCTTTTAACAATGCAAGGGGCATACCAAAAAATGAAAGTTGATCACATATAAAGGAAGACGTATAAAAGAATTGGTCTGAGTTAAACATGACAATTTTTGCCACTACACTGCACACATCTAGAATTGCTCATGGGTTGTAGAGGATAATGATGATAAATATTTTTTTAATTATATGAGTGTAGAAATAGTGAGATAGCAGGTCAAATTTTGAAAACTAATACCAAAGGAGAAAATTGATTGGAGATGAAGAAAAAAGAAGCAGGAGGAGGAGGTTTGTATTGCATATGAAGTCTGGAGGTTCCAAATCCAGACATCGCTAAAGACACATATCGGGAACACGTTTATAGAAATAATTCTAACTTTTAGGCACTCGAAGAAGAAGGAATATGGAGAAACTGGACCTTTTCCTGGTTTCCAAATTCAAAACACAGTTCAGACAGACGTTTGGACTTGAAACAGATTTCATTGGATTTTGGGGAACAATGTGTGTTATTGAACCAATAAAAGATGTTTTTGCCCCAAACCATATTTGGGGATAGTTGAAAATCTTTAAACAAAAAGAACAATTAAGAAAATAGAAAATGGTTTTGCGCCCCCCCCCCCCCCCCCCCGAAAACCAAAAATTGGACCTGGAGAACAAGATAACTATTGTTTGTCTTTTAAAGAGAAAACAAGGCATTTCCTGAATTTGTTTTAAATCAAAAAGAGCACTTGGAAGCCCAATTAGGGATAAAAACACAGGCTGTTCTTAAAATATTAATAAGCTTCACTTTATTTGTATTTCGGACTAAACCAAAGATAGAGAATCAACTGAAAGCGAAATCTACCTGGAACCTCTTCTTGACAACATCAAGAGGATGACAGACAGCTTTCGCACATGTCCCAGCAGCTAAACCGCAGATGAAAAGCTGGAAGCTTGACACTTGCTCATCACCATGGATAGCATTAGAAGATCTAAGATGATTCCAGGCCTACAAACATAAATCCAATTGTGAGAGACCAAATTGAGAACACTTGCTACATTTAACTTAAGCTAAAAGTGGTGGCAAAAGCATATTCTCACTGTACAACAAATAAGTTAATAATCAAATGAAACTGTAAGTGTATGTGTGAACTACTGACACATAAATACATGTCTCAGCAATCTCCAGAATAGTGCTGCGAATTTAGAGGGTCAGATTTTTCAAGAAAAATAAACCAGTGTAAAATGCACAAACTGCTAGGGTGGTTTAAAATTCTTATCAAGCTAAAATAATTCAAGAACACAGTGGTTAAATAAAATCAGTCACTCTAATCCTCAGAATGATTCAGGGACAGGACTTCCACAGAAGGGAATTGGCTTCATCTAATAACATTGATGGCATTCCCATTGGTGTCTACAAATGCATAAACCACTCTCTCTGACCCAAAACTTGTTAGTTGACTCTGAAAAGTACTTGGATTTCAGAAAAATGTAATTTTAGATAAATTTATGCACGTTTAGAAAATCATAAAACTTGTACTTCATAATTCTTCCCATGTACATCATTGTTTCTTCTATTTCAACACTTCTTAAATAAATCTAACATTAAGTATCTTTGACCTAAGCCTAGCCTTTTGGACATCAAATCTTTAGGATATATGGAGTACCTTTTTGTGTATTTAGTATTACAGGTAAAAGCATCTCACATAATTTAACAGCTTATGCATAAATGTCGTCTATGAATTTAGAAGTGTTTCCTTTAAAGTTGTCTCATCTGCAAATATTATCCCAAGTCAAAAATCCAATTCAGTACATTATCCTCGAACAAGTGTCAACAGTATCAAACATTGCAAGTGAGAGACTCTATGAAAGGGTAAGCCTTTACCATCATCCAGCGTTTGAATGTATCATAAGTCCCAAATTGCAAACCAGCATAAGGAACAATCTCAACAAGAGTAGGTGTCAATCCAGAATACAGTCCTCGAATGCCACGAGTTCTGAATATATCAACAGATGCAGCCCTCATGTTTGGATAAACCTGTTAGTTCGCATACCACATAAGTCCCATGAAACCTAGTTAACATGACTGCAGAGAAATAGCATACAAAATAGTAAAACAACAAAATTTGAAGTGTTAATACTTATATCTCACTTGACTTTTTCATCCGTAAAAAAACCCACTAAACTTGAATTTCTGATCATTACGTGCAAACTCAATACTTGCATCAAGTAGGATGAACATCGTGATTAATTGTAATCACTAAAATAAGTCTATGGGGAAACAATGAAGACAATGACATTGCATTCTTTTACATCAAATTAAGCAGTATTGCAAAATGGATTCTGCAAATTCAAGTGTCCAATATCAATGTATTCACATAATGATGTCAAAAGCATTCAGATGGACAGTAAGTTTGTGTATTTTCTCCCACATGCATGACTTGACAACCGAGGACCACAATCGACACTGTCCATCCAAGACTATATTCTTATTCGATTGTTTATTTGACATGACAGTGATCAATCAATCAATCCACTACATTACGTCTATCTGTAATTTGAGTGAAAACACTGCATGTAATTAGAGGTGAAGGTGAATTTGCCAATCTTATCCCTTTCTTATAGAGATAAGTTTGTAAAATTTACCCAATACAACATGATTTGCATTGCAAGAGACCTGGTTCAATCAATCCACTACGTGTCTACGTCTAATCTGTAATTTGAGTGAAAACACTGCATGTAATTAGAGGTGAAGATGAATTCGCCAATCTTATCCCTTTCTTATAGAAATAAGTTTGTCAAATTTACCCAATACAAACATGATTTGCATTGCAAGAGACTTGGTTCCCACATGTATGAGCACAGTTTGTATTACATGCAACAAAGGTTATACTATAGTCACATATCACAAGTGATGCGTACCTTTGGCTCTCCTTGAGAAGCTAAAATGGTTCTCAAAAGATCAAATGGATAAGAACCAACAGTAGCTGCACAGCCTGCTAATGCTCCACTGATGTAAGAAAGATAAGGGCTCAAGTTAACGTGATCCTCTGCATCATAGAAAAGAATGCCATCAGATAGTGACGCTTACTTGAGGGAAGCACAAAATAGCTTACTTAAAGACATCTTTGAACAGCTAAATATGTAAATCAAATTCCCATACTGAACTTAGACTAGATAAAACTTCTTTATGCAGTGAGATTATAAAAGCACACATGGTGTAAAAGCTATACAACTTGTGACAGAGGAGAAAAGGGGTGAACTATATATAAAACCTAATTAATCTACTCGAGTAGGTCAGACTACTGTACAGACCTGACTTTGAAGAGCCACTAGCAAAAGTTTTCAACTTGTGCAACACCGCAAATTGTATTGCAGTGTATGGCATAACCATCAGTAAAGCAGGGACGTTACCCCGCCAAAATCCCTGTCATGTGAGCAAGGGAAACAGAGTAAATTTGAGAAAACTGTGCAGAATTTCAAAAGATACCATTCATCAAAATCATTAAAACTAATAAGTAGAAACATCTCTTGCGCTGATCCCCATATACAAACAAGTAAAACTTAAATATGTGAAGAGAAGAAGGACAAAATTGTTGAACACAGAAATATCAAACTTTAATTATCTTCTGAGGCACAAATAGATTAACACAATAAATATAGAACGTGGACTGAACAGAATCAGTAACCCCATTAGCGGGCCTTTTTTGGGTAATTTAGTGTGAGTTTGCTATAACGTTCATCAATTGGAGAGAGAATTATTTTGCAAGGAAGGAGCCACAAGCTTGAAATCAACAATTACACAAACCCCCCACCATTGCTCGTACCGGGATTTGATAACACCTCAAAAAGTTTTCATCAACTGAGTAGAAAAATGACAAGAAACAACATGTATAGTAAATTAAGGATAAAGATTTTTTTGTCAAAAAAAAAGTAAATTAAGGATAAAGCTGTGAAAAGGAATTTTGACAACAAGAAGTCATAGAGTGCATGCCTTAATTTTTAAAAACTACTCCCTCCGTTTCAAAAAGACTGATCTCCTTTCATTTTTAGTCTGTTTAAAAAAGAATGACCTCTTTCTTTTTTTTGGTAACATTTTAATTTCAGCTTTCCACGTGGCATGTTTAAGGTCACAGAATTAAAGGACAATTTTGTACATTTGACATAACTTTAATTTAGGACCACATGATTCAAAAGTCTTTTATTTTCTTAAACTCCGTGCCAAATCAAACTAGACCATTCTTTGTGAAACGGAGGGAGTAAATATTTTTCAACCAACAAAAGAGAGTACATTTACAAATTTATTTGAGTGCAAATAAAAAAGCTGACAAAGCATAATTAGTAATATATCCAAGTCTCGAAAACTCTGTGACTAACACATGCATCAAATAATTATTACATTCCTACAAAGTCCTCAATATGATAGGAAGCATACCGGTAAACCTTCTTCTCTGAGTATGTCTCTACTGGCTTGCAACATCCCCGTGTATTTTGAATTGGAATTGCCACATACAGTTCTTGTAAGTAAGGCCCACTGGGTAGTGGGTTCCAGTTGAACCTGTAAAAAGATTAGAATATATCAAAAACATCAGCTCTTTTTGTACTCTTTATATATATATATATATATATAAGGAGCTTTCTATATACAATTGTACTTGATATACACAGAAAATCAAGGCAATTTTTATGTTATTGGCTATCCCAATAAGGTCTGATGAAAATGAAGCAACGAAGAAAAACTGTCAAAGAAGAATGAGAAAGGCTGGATTCAGCACCATAGAGACCAAATACCAACTACTCTTTTATGGAAGGAAGTTCGTCGAAGAATATCATTTTGAAACAAAACGAGAATTCTATAAAGTAATTGAGGGTTTCGCTGTTTATGGCCTCTACATGTAAAAGTGTAAGCGTTGAGCTTAATTAGTGGAATGTTTGAGGGTTCTTCATTGCACATGAACGCAAATCGTCCTACAGCCAAAATTAGAGATTCAACAAATGATCAGGCCAAGTCTGAGAAAAGTAGGTCATCTCTGCAATCACACATATTCCTGATGTTATGAAACTAAAGTTTGCAAATTTGATAATCTCAAACTGTAGTTCTGACTGCCTTTTATAGAGAAGTCAAAGCATCACCATGGTAACAAGGATAACAATAATGAGAGAACCTAAAAAAGGTCAATCTACAAGACTAGTTCTAATGGGCTAAACCAATTGTATAACCGTGTGCCCTCCCCGACTGTTTCAAACTTTTAACAATGATTAATAATGAAAGCAGACGGGAATATCCAATTCATCACAATGTTAGAAAGATGACTCATCCTTTTATGACTACTGATCATCTTGATCATAAATCTGATTAAGTTTTCAGGCAATACTATTACCAGTATTTGTATAAATGCTAACCACAATAACAATAACAACAACTACTATTACAAGTTTACAACACCTCGAATAAGGCTGGATGCAGTAAACATAAACAAGAATGTCTTACCTGGAATCTGATTTTAATAACATCAAGAGGTGATGTTACAGTCCTGGATATACCACCAGAAATTGCACCAGCCGAAGCATCTATAAAAGCTCTTTTAAGCTGCCCCGTCTCTTCCATCTCTCCTAAGGCCACCACAACAACTATCTGCAAACCCAAAAGAAAACACACCCCTTAAGTTGAAACTTAAAAAAAATGGAATTCAACAACAACATACCCAGTGGAAACCCAAAAGCCACCAAAGGTAAAGAAACCACAATTAGCAATATGAGGTAATTTACATATTGTATAACATCCACAGGTATGTAATACTACTAACGTAAAAAAAAAAAAAAAAGTATAATATACTGATCTATACATAGAAAAAGAAGCAAGGAATTGGGTTAAAACAAACCACAAGCATGGATTAATTGAGAGACTAATTAACCTCATAAAAACAAAATATGTAGTTTGATATATGGATTTTTCAATTGAAAACGGACGGAAGATAATACCTGAGAGGAGTCATGATTGAAGATTTCAGATTTGAGAGCTCAAAGTATATTATTGCGACCCCTGGATATTATATATCTCCAGTAATCCACCAAAACTGAAAGAGGGATTTTGGCGCAATACGGAGCGGGGCAGCAGCGACCCGGGAAACTTCTTAGAATGGAGAAGAAGAAGAAGAAGAAATTTCCCGGGTTGGTGGCTGTGGAGGCGAAAGGCTAAAAAGTTGAATTTAATGGCGGTTCTGTTTACCTGAAAAGCAAACATAAAAGGAGGGAGATGAGAGGAGAAGCAAATATTCTCTTTTTTTCCATTCGCCAAATCATTTCTAAATTATTTATTTAACTCCTCGCATTATTTTAATTAGGTTATCAAAAAACATTTCTCAAAAAAACACTTACATAATAGACATTTATCATAATGTAAATACATATTTTTTTATCTAAATTAACGTTCTCTTTTCTTTCACAACTTCCATAGCAACCATGTGTTTGATTTTTATCTCATTTATTTTTGGAACAATACTTCTCTCAACTACTGAGAATGTTAATATTAGGGATCAAAATTACATAATTAAATTAAGAAAGGTTGAATAAGTGTAATCAATTTTATTTTTTTTAATAAATAGAAGAGAGCACTAATTCAAGGATTGAAACAGACTATTCTTCTTTACCCTTTTTTTAAGTGGCTTCTTGTTCTCCTTTCAAAACTTTTTGGGGTGACCAATTAATAAGGGAAAATATCTAACACTTATTGGTGGCTTTTGCACGTTGGCCTCTCTAAATTAGTACAAGAAAAGTATATATTGTTGGAAAACATATTTACAATAGAAAAAAAATAATCAGAAATCATATTGCATATATGAATAATTATAACAATTAAAGTATATAACAGAAATACCTTAAAAGGCCAAAAAAATAAAAAAATAAAAACTTAAAAGGCCTTAGTAGATATCTTGAAACTTTCTTACTTGAATAGACTCATAATTAATTTTTTAGATTAGGAGAACTCTACTTATAAAGACCTTTTTTTGGGTCCAAATCTAGAATTAAAAACATGTCTTTTTTTTCTAAAACAAAATATAATTTTGAGTTTTAGCTAAATATGAACACTATATGGACCATAGAATTAATTATTTTTGGCTTCTATTATGAAAATAATTTCAAAAATAAATTTGAATTATTCGTTTCATAATAAATTACAAATTATACCACTATATTTTTGTAATTGCACTTTTCCATTTATATTTTGAAATTCTCAATTAAATACTAATGTAATTTCTCATGTTAAGATTATAGATACTAATTAATAAATTATCACTAATGAATTTAATTTAATGAGTAAGATTCTTTAGAGTAGTGCTTAACTTATTTCATGTGTCAAATTCATAAATCCATCGGCCGAGTTTTCACATAAAAACTTGGGGATAAGACATAAGTACCTTCTAAACTATGAGGGAAATTTCAGCTATATACATTAACTTAACTCGGATCCTATTATCCCCCCTCCCCCCGAACTCAATTTTTTTGAATTTTCGTGCATCTTTTATGCTGACGTGGCACCTTCAACCAGGTAAAGTTGGTTGTGTGTATAACACGCGCCGCAACATGTGTAAATGAGTATTCTTTTTTTAAAAAAACTTTTTAATATTTTTTTAATACTTCTTATTTTCTTTATTTTGTATTTAAACTAAGTTAATACACGTAATTTTTATTTTAAAACAATGTCTTATATTTTTTAAAAATCATTCTTTTAACTTCATTCGTTGTTTTTTCTCTTTTTTTCCTATTAATTTTATTTATTCTTTTTATTTTCTTTGTCTTTTATTTTGATTGATTTCAAATTTAATTCCAAATATCTTGTATTTAAAATAAGTAAATTTGAAAAATATTTTAAAATAAGTGAAGAAACTTAAATAAATATATAAAAATTAAAACATTAAAATTAAAGGACACTTTTAAAAAAAATTACAAAATACCACATAATTTTTAAAAATAATTAAAAGTGAAGATAAAAAAAATAATAAAAGACGAAAAATATAAAAAGTCTAAGCGGGGATGAAAATAAATATTTTACAAATAAAGAAATATAAATAATGAAATATATATAAGTTTTAATGTAAATAATTTTGTGTACTAATTAATTATAATAGACCAATTAAAAAGGATATATATCCATTTTTTTTCGTTGTTCACTTGCCTTCAAGAGAGTGTGCACACTCTCTATGCCACGCCAACATTTAGGATGTATTTGTTCCATTTTAAAATCGTTTAGGGGGTAATAGTAACCTAGTTAAGTTTAAGTGTATCGCTGAATTTCGGTCACAGTTTAGAGGCTCATTTATGCCTTATCCCGAAAACTTAGAAGTTTATCATAAAAAGGTACATAATTGATCTCTATAATGAGATGTAGATTACATCAACTAACTAGTTATTCACCAATATATATTATTTTCATCCAATCTACCAGACATATTGATCCTTTTAAGGACCTCACCTTTTAATAAATCAAAATGATAATTAATATATACAACTCATAATAGTTATATCAAGATTGAGAATATAAGTACATTTAATAGTTTAGAAAATATGTTTTTGTCAATAAGTCTAAAACAACTATCCATATTCATTCCGTTTAATAAATACAAAATGCACTAGGACAAGAAGTCGAAACAATATCATTTTTATAATCAAGATATATTTAATCTTGTCCTGCAATCATACCGATAACTTGTCCAATTTCCACCATAAATTGTGAACAAAATATTATATATAAGAATCGATACACTAAATTATCTATTATATATAAGTAAACGGACACATAAATGAATATGTCCATATATTAAATTTTTTATTAAAATTGAATAAATAATTATTCTGTAATAAATATTATATCTAAACACATGATTAATAATATATATTATATGGTTTATAGTATATATCTCAACATTAAAAAGACATTTAAACTTTGTGAGAGTCACATGACTCTTTTGAATAATTTTGTATTGATATTAATATATTATTTTTAGCCACCTGACCTAGTGAATATAGCTCACTCTATTAAAGAGAGTGAGAAAGAGAGAGAGAGATGAACAAAAAACATATTTTTTACATATTAAAAGTATTTTATATGTTTTTACTCTTTTTGTTTTACTTTTTTTTTTTCTGTTTAGTTTTTTTGTTTCTCCTGTCTTCTTTGTCACTCCGGTAAAAGTGAGTTTGTCACCATCAACGTTTGATTTGTTTTAATGAAGATGATCAAAAGATAATAAAAGAAAAAATGAAGAGAAAAATGATCATTGTTAGTCATCTTTTTATCCAGTAAAAAAATTATTTATTGACGACAATGGCAGATTAGTGGTGATTATCCAACAGTTGATTCGATTGTCGAAGGAGGAAGACGTACTATTTTGTGGTTTCGCGATCCATAAGATGAACAGATAGTTCCTAGTGAAATCTGAGAAAATAAAGCTAGGAATAAACAGGAGTTAAATAAGCTTAGCAATAATAAATAAATAAATATGATGTAATTACGCAAGTGTCATAGTCCTAAGCTCTAATAACTTTGTGAACAACTCCTATGATTTCATTCTCATTTACTCATATTACTTTAGTTATAATTAGAAGATTAAACAAATAAATAAATCTCTTGTCACGATCCAAAAGTACACCCTAAAATGACATGGTGTATAAGACCCCGAGATGCCCTACACAAGCCACTTGACATACATCATATAATAGAATTTAAAGAGTTCAAAAAATAGTACTTCATATAAAAGAGTTTTTCAAACAAAGTGGAAGTCTAACATTTGTCTCAATCATCTAATACATCATAAGGAAAGTGATTGGGAAGTAACTCATACATCACATACAAGTTCTGAAATTGAAATGACAAAAAAAGCTATAAAAGTGACATTGTCCTTGAAAAGTATGAGGACTCACCAGATCTTCAAATCTCTAATGCAATCAACTAGCCACGAACGGAAGGATAAGAATCGTCAAGCCCTACATTAGTGAAACAATGCAGGAACAAGTATGCATTAGTACATGAAATGTACTAAGTATGAGGGGAATGCAATAAAACATGAGACATGATCATAAAGGGACATAATCGAAAACATGAAATGCATGACCAAGTTAAAACATAGTAAAATCATTTAAGAAGATTCATAAAGCATGAACATGGTCAATGCATCTTTAATTCATAAAGGAGGCTTTATAAAACATTAGAAATTTACTTAGTTTTGTGGGAAGTTTACCGTTAACCGACATATAGACCATGCGAGTTATAACATGGAATCCAGTGTCTACCCCACACCGAAGAGGAGTGTCCTACTTGCCAAGGTAAGGACCATAAATCTGAGCTAAAGTGGATACACTAGCTAATGTCTATCTAAGACAATCATCCTATGATGACACATAGGTATGTGATAAGGAGATTGCTACTAAATACCCAACCTCAAGCTACGGGAGAGCTCCCATCTCAATATCCTCTTTGTTGACACCCAATTTTGACCCTCCACAATATAAATTAATCATTGAGCTTCTTCAATTTCAAGCGATTTAAAATAATTAGTTTTAGAAATGTTCAAAATAATAATAATAATAATAATAACAATTTGCAAGTTATTTTTAAATGTTTTGTCGCCTTTTTATAATTTT